CTTACTGAATTTCTTTCCACACTCTGAGCATTCAAAACGTTTCTCCCCTGTGTGGGTTCTCTGATGCTTCTGAAGACTGCCACTCTTACTGAATTTCTTTCCACATTCTGAGCATTCAAAAGGTGTCTCCCATGTGTGGGTTCTTTCATGTCGTTGAAGACTGCCACTCCTACTGAATTTCTTTCCACACTCTGAGCATTCAAAACGTTTCTCCCCTGTGTGGGTTATTTTGTGTTGCTTAAGTTGGCCACTCACACGGAATTTCTTTCCACACTGTGAGCATTCAAAAGGTTTCTCCCCTGTGTGGGTTCTCTGATGCGTCTGAAGAGCGCCACTCTGACTGAATCTCTTTCCACACTGTGAGCATTCAAAAGGTTTCTCCCCTGTGTGGGTTCTCTGATGCGTCTGAAGAGCGCCACTCTGACTGAATCTCTTTCCACACTGTGAGCATTCAAAAGGTTTCTCCCCTGTGTGGGTTCTTTGGTGCCGTTGAAGAGTGGTACTGTGACTGAATCTTTGCCCACAAACTGAGCATTCAAAAGGTTTCTCCCCTGTGTGGGTTCTCTGATGCTGTTGAAGTTGGCCACTCCGACTGAATTTCTTTCCACACACCACGCACTCAAAGGGCTTCTCCCCTGTGTGGGTTCTTCGGTGCTGTTGAAGAGTGCTACTATGACTGAACCTCTTTCTGCATTCTAAGCATTCAAAAGGTTTCTTCCCTCTGTGTATTCTTTGGTGCACAAGGAGCTGTGATCGATTTCTGAAGTCCTTTCCACACTGAATGCATTTACTTCCCTTCATTATCTTGGGGTTTGGCAAATATACATGACCCTTTCTTCCATCTTTCTTCTCAATCGTATGGCCGCCTTTCTTCCTCCTTGGTCTGCCTCGATTCCTAATGTTTTCTTTCAAATCTTCATTTTTAACTGTATCTGCCCTTTGCTGATGAAGTCCCTCACCCTCCTCATTCCTCTGATCATCCTCTCCTGGAATAAACAGATATCCTGTTAGCACCTAGGAGGGCTGGTATGGTTCAAAGGCAGTAGGAAAGGACTGACCGCCCTTTGCCTTGCGTGATATTAACCACCACCCTCCACCTTTCTCCAGAATATATAGTATTTAAGGATACCCCACCCACCCCAAGAACCACAGCGAAGCTCTTGCCGAGAAAGAGTTTCCAAGCCTCCAGATTTCAGGGCCCCAGAAGTCCTCTCTCCCCTCCCTCGTTACCCAGCAGGCTGTATGACTGTCCCAAACCAAATGCTGCTGAGAAGTGAATCCCCCATGGCCGTTCCTTGCTTGTTCCCTTGACGTAACCGTGAAGGATACTCACTCTCAGGCAGCTCATCAGGGAAGGAGATATGATCTTGAAATTGTCTTGAGGAACTCTCCAGCCTTTCTTTGGATGCGAGGCCGTTGTCTGTCTCCACCATAGTCTCTCGTATAGTTCTAGCTTTTTCACAGAGAGAGAGAGAGAGAGAAAATGATCATCCTTATAGAAGGAAGGAAAGAGATTGAAGAGTAAATATTCTTCTGGAGGGATGGAACCAGGGTCAAGATGAAAGCCCACAATCCCAACCAGTTTAAGGGGGATGGATCTGTGAGGCAAAGCTCCCTTCTTCCCCCAAGGGTTCACATGATTATTAAGTGGACTGCTCTGACTTGCAGGTGTTTGTGATTTGAGTCTCCCTGCAGCTAACCTTCTGATCTTCTTCAAGGCCAGACTCCAGAGTGTGGTCATTGGTTAATCGTGAGCACCTGTAAGCAGTTGTGTAAACGGGAGGGAGGGGGGGATTAGGAGGGTGCTGACTGTCCGCTAGGCCTCTGTCTTTCCTAGCTGCCATGGGAGTGAGGGGTGACTCTGGAATGTTAACCTTCAACTCTGCCATGTCTTCGATGTTTCCATGATCTCTTCTGCCCAAAGTGACCACAAAAAGAAGCCAGCACCCCAGACCCAAGGAGTCCATGCGAGAATGGTGGATGAGGCAAGGTGTGTGCCTGAGCTCTGGAGAACCAGATCAGTACGCCACTTTGTGCCCAGCCAAACGGACAGCCCGGCCAAGGGGGGAGAGCAGCCGCGAGATGCAGCTCTGAGGTGCAGCCAAAACCTGGAGGAGCACAGCTCACGCAACCGAAGGCTCTCCAGCAGAGATCGTGTGCCCCAGCCGGCAGGGAAAGGCCGGGACCTGCTGTAAGAGGCACGACCCAGCAGGTCCAAAAACAGGCAGCGCCACGTTCGGTGAGCAACACTCCCACTGCCATGTTTTTCATGACTATGTCACTCAAAAGCCCCGAGATGGGCACCCAAGTGAGGGTGCGGCCTGTAGTGGACTCTGGGTGTGCTGCTAGAGACTTAGCAAGCCTGGCCATAGTCACGGGGTTGGGGGTTCCAGTGCAAACGCTTCAAGAGTGACTCATCTTTACCCAAACGGATGGCTCCACTATGAGGGAGGCGTGCAAATACCAGACTGTACCAGTGATAATGGGGACGGGGAGCTCCCACCGGGAGCAAAGAGCGTCTGTCATAAATCCTATGGCCAGATTTCCCATGGTGCCAGGGAACCCCTTCCTGCGAGACCACGGCCCCCATATACAGTGGGGTGCAGGCGTGTTACATTTTCCTGACCCCAAATGTGATGGACATGCGTGGAAAGTGGAGAGGCTGCCCTCCCTGAGCGAGCTTGTCTAGCCCAAGAAGAGCTCGATTCCATCCCGGAGGAGTACGGAGACCTCGCCCGGGTGTTTGAGGAAGAGGAGGCAGATAAACTCTCCCCCACACACACACCGTAATGCAGACTGTGCCACAGAGATTTTACCGGGGCATTATATGCCGAAAGGAACTTGTGGAAGGTTCTTGTAGAAAGAAAAAGAGGAGCTGCGGTCGTTCACTGACAGAAACTTAGCATGGGGGTTCATCCGACCTGCCTCCTCGCCTTTAGGGCTCCTGTCCTCTTCTGGAAAAAGAAGGACAGGGGGTTGAGGCTATGTACGGATCGTAGGGGTTTGAACGGTGTCTCTACCACCAACGACTACCCTCTCCCGCTGATCAAAGACCTTTTGGTTGAAGTTACCCAAACGGATGGCTCCACTATGAGGGAGGTGTGCAAATACCAGACTGTACCAATGATCATGGGGACGGGGAGCTCCCACCGGGAGCAAAGAGCGTCTGTCATAAATCCTATGGCCAGATTTCCCATGGTGCCAGGGAACCCCTGCCTCCGAGACCACGGCCCCCATATACAGTGGAGTGCAGGCGTGTTACATTTTCCTGACCCCAAATGTGATGGACATGCGTGGAAAGTGGAGAGGCTGCCCTCCCTGAGCGAGCCTGTCTAGCCCAAGAAGAGCTCGATTCCATCCTGGAGGAGTACAGAGACCTCGCCCGGGTATTTGAGGAAGAGGAGGCAGATTAACCCCCCCACCACCACCGTAATGCAGACTGTGCCACAGAGATTTTACCGGGGCATTATATGCCGAAAGGAACTTGTGGAAGGTTCTTGTAGAAAGAAAAAGAGGAGCTGCGGTCGTTCACTGACAGAAACTTAGCATGGGGGTTCATCCGACCTGCCTCCTCGCCTTTAGGGCTCCTGTCCTCTTCTGGAAAAAGAAGGACAGGGGGTTGAGGCTATGTACGGATCGTAGGGGTTTGAACGGTGTCTCTACCACCAACGACTACCCTCTCCCGCTGATCAAAGACCTTTTGGTTGAAGTTACCCAAACGGATGGCTCCACTATGAGGGAGGTGTGCAAATACCAGACTGTACCAATGATCATGGGGACGGGGAGCTCCCACCGGGAGCAAAGAGCGTCTGTCATAAATCCTATGGCCAGATTTCCCATGGTGCCAGGGAACCCCTGCCTCCGAGACCACGGCCCCCATATACAGTGGAGTGCAGGCGTGTTACATTTTCCTGACCCCAAATGTGATGGACATGCGTGGAAAGTGGAGAGGCTGCCCTCCCGGAGGGAGCCTGTCTAGCCCAAGAAGAGCTCGATTCCATCCTGGAGGAGTACAGAGACCTCGCCCGGGTATTTGAGGAAGAGGAGGCAGATTAACCCCCCCACCACCACCGTAATGCAGACTGTGCCACAGAGATTTTACCGGGGCATAAGATGCCCAAAGGGAACCTGTATGCCATGAAGAAGGGAAAGAAGAGCTGTGGAAGTTCACTGACAGAAACTTAGCACGGGGGTTCATCCGACCTGCCTTCTTGCCTTTTAAGGCTCCTGTCCTCTTCTGGAAAAAGAAGGACAGGGGGTTGAGGCTATGTACGGATCATAGGGGTTTGAATGGTGTCTCTACCACCAACGCCTACCCTCTCCCGCTGATCAAAGACCTTTTGGTTGAAGTCACGAGGGACAAAATCTTCTCAAAGTTGGATCCGAGAGACACCGACTTCCGAGTGTGCATTCGAGAGGGGGATGAGCACAAAACAGCATTTTGTGTAACCTGACTCCTGACGACGGCTTCTGAAACTCTGACTGCAAATCTCCGATAACCTTAAATTGTGTATTGACCTGATATTTGAACTCTGCTCTCGTTTCTCTGCCTTATCTGGTGCCCTGACCTCAGCCTGTGTTTTTGGATTTTCCGTGCCCTGCCTGAGCAATCGTGACACTTAAGACGTTGTATGAACAGCGGCTTTTTGCCAGGCTTTCTAAATGTGAATTCCACAAGAAGGAAGTGGACTTCCTAGGTTACCAAATCTCTGGAAAGGGGTTGACGATGGACCCCCATAAGGTGGCGGATGGGGTGAACCGGGAGAACCGGGAGGCCCCCCCGCACTAGAAGGAAACTCCATTCTTGGGCTTTGCCAATTTCTACCGTCCCTTCATCCTCAACTTCGCTCAAGTGAGTTTGCCCCTCACAGATTATTTAAAGACAAAAGGGAAGGGACTAAGAAAGCACGAAGCCAAGTGCCAAACTGAATTGGATGCCAGAGTGCCAACACTCTTTTGATAAACTCAAAGAGCCGTTTACCTCTGAGCCTTTCTTGCACCATCCCAATGAAAATAAAATGTTTGTGGTCCAAGTTGATGCTTCGGCTGTTGCTATGGAGGGAGACGATCCTACAGAATTTCCAATTACTCCTCCATCCAACAGAAAGCAGATGAGTGTTGGTATCAAGGGGACAAATTGTTTGTGCCACTGGCCCTGCTGGGGAGGTGTTGCATTTCGGGCATGAAGCCAAGCTGGGCGGACACTTTGGTTATTTCAAAACCCTTCACCTCCTTCAGTGGCAGTTTTGGTGGCCGCACATGCAAACTGACATTTCCCAATATGTGAGGTCCTGCGAAACCTGTTTAATGGGAAAACAGAGGCCGAGCAAACCTCTGGGGACGCTCTGCGCCCACTAGAGACTCCTGGCCAACCCAGGGAAGCTATTTCCATGGACTTTATTACTGACTAGCCTCCAAGCAAGGGGAAAACGGCGATCTGGGTGATTGTAGACCCGTACTCCAAGCAGGCTCATTTCATCCCGTGTAAAACTCTGCCAACCACCAAGGCATTGGCTAAACTGTTCACGCACCACAATGTGAGATTGCATTCTATTCCTAACAAAATAATTTCAGACCGGGGAGCTCAGTTTGTTGCCAAGCTTTTCAAAGAGCTCCTACAGGTTCTGGGCATTGAGAGGGGTCTCAGCAGTGCCCACCACCCTGAGACTGATGGGCAGACTGAGCGTGTCAACCAAACAGTGGAACAGTTCCTTCGGTGTTTTACAAATTATTTAACAGGACAATTGGGCTGAGTTGCTGCCCTGTGCTCTACGGGACTGTCTCCCTTTAGAGCAATGCATGGCTACAAGGGGGCTCCCCTGCGTACGTTGGGGACTCCTGACCCCAGTCCGGGAGATCTCCAGACCCGGTGGCAAAGCCTACAGGAACAAGGGTCTGTGATCCAAAAGACTTTAGCTAAAGCCAAAGCGGAGTACAAAACCCAAGCCAATAAGGGGCGTGCTCCAGGGTGGGATTTACAGCCAGGAGACTCGGTGTCCTTATCCACTAAGAACTTGAGAGGACTCCAGCTCAGGAGGAAATTGGGCTGGAAGTATATTGGTCCCTTTAAGGTCTTGCGTAAAATGAATGATGTGACTGTTGAACTTGAATCACCCAAGACCCTTAAAGATGTGCATCCTGCATTTCATTTCAGCTTGCTGAAGAGAGACCCGGGACCGAACAAGTGGAGACCTCGACCACCTGCCCCTCGGCCTCTGATGATGAATGGTGAGCCACATCAAGAGGTGACTGAAATCTTGGACTCTAAACTTACGCCTGTTTCTCATTATCATCTGATTAAACAGAAGGACTTTGACCTCTCACATAATAAATGAGTACAAGATTGTCATGTTAATGCCCCTAAACTTGTGCGTGCCTTTCCCAGAATGTATCCAAACAAACCTGGTGGATGAGATCTTTGGAAGGGCAGTATGCCAGCTAGGCCTCTGTCTGTCCTAGCTGCCATGGGAGTGAGGGGTGACTCTGGAATGTTACCTTTCAATTGTGCTGTGTCTTCAGTGTTTCCATGATCTCTGTTGCCTAAGCATTTGACCTTCATCGCCTGGTGTTGTATTTCTCCTGGGAAGTAGGGCCCGTTACTTTGGCAGGCTTCGACCGGGCTCCTTATTGGCCCTAGGCCATCAGGGGGTCTGCTTGAATCCTGTATATCTGTCTGCCTCACATGTTTTCTCTTCAGTTCTAACAGGAAATGGTTAAGATACTCTGCATACTCTCAACGTCTCAATAAATTTTACTTCTCTGAATGAAAGCTGTTAGGCACTGAGTGCTGCAGGAGTCGGACACTGATAGCCCATGCTAACTGTATACACGTACCTTCCTAGTACGCCTTGATATCTTCTTGCTCCATCACAATGTAGAGTAGAGTAAGTTTGGCTACAGCTGGAATACTTCCGCTGCAACAAGAGGTGCCATCTTATACCAAGTGTTTCATTAGCCCCTTAAGGACTAAGAAAATATGTGGCGGAGTAGGAGCTTTCATGAGTCACTGCTCACTTCTTCAGATATTGCTGGAAGCTGCCCTGAGTCCTGCTTGCAGGGAAAGGAGCGGGATGTAAGCTGAGCAACTATCTGAAGAAGGGAGCCGTGAGTCACAAAAGCTCCTCCCCCGCCACACGTTTCCTTAGTCCTGAAGGTGCTCCTGGACTCTGGCTCTTTTCTACGCTGCAGACAGACAAACGCGGCCACCCATCTTCAGAACATCAGAACATCAGAGACGCCAATGTTGGATCAGGCCAAAGGCCCATCCAGTCCAACACTCTGTGTCACACAGTGGCCAGAAATACCAGTGCCATCAGGAGGTCCAGCAGTGGGGCCAGGACATTAGAAGCCCTCCCACTGTTGACCCCCCCCAAGCACCAAGAAGACAGAGCATCACTTGCCCCAGAGCCCCTAGCTATACCTTGTGGCTAATAGCCACTGATGGACCTCTGCTCCATATGCTTATCTAATTCCCTTTTGAAGCCGTCCATGCTTGTAGCACCCACCACTTCCTGTGGCAGTGAATTCCAAGTGTTAATCACTCTTTGGGTGAAGAAGGACGTCCTAGATAGAACCGTTGGCTTCTCTTGTTTTTCTGCTGCTAAGTTGATGAAACTATGTTGTTTGGAGATGACTGACTTTTAAAATAATTTAAAGGAGTCTGCTTTCCTTGTGTGCCCCCTCCTCGTGAACCCACTGAACTGGGTGCTGCTCAGGTACAAGGAGTGGTGGCCCAGGGGGACCCAGGCTTCGGTTCCTGACAGGATCATTTCCAGTTCAGAGGCAGAGCATTGTTTGTAACCCCACCCGGGGAGAAGGGTGTGTCGTAAAGACTGGCCACAGAGAAATGAGGATGTGGCCCCTTCCAGAGTCTTTCTCAGGGCCTCTCATCATAAGAACATAAGAAGAGCCCTGCTGGATCAGACCAGTGAGAGTTCATCTAGTCCAGCATCCTGTCTCACACAGTGGCCAACCTCTGGAGGGCCAACAACAGGGCACAGAGGCCGAGGCCTTCCCCTGAGAAGAACCCCAGAAGAGCCCTACTGGGTCAGACCGGAGAGGTCCCATCTAGTCCAGCCTCCGGCCTCACACAGGGGCCAGCCAGTTCCTCTGGAGGGCCAGCAACAGGGCAGAGAGGCTGAGGTCTTCCCCTGGTGTCACCTGGGATTCAGAGGTCTACCACTTCTGAACATGGAGGTTCCATTTAGTCCCTATGGCTGCTAGCCCCCGATAGACCTCCCCATGTCATCTCAGCCACCCTACCCATCCCTCCATCATGTGGCAGGGAGTTCCACCGGCTGTGCGAAGAACTGCTCCGAACCCTGCCGGCAGACCATTAGAATGCTGCCCAGACCACTTGGCTGTCGTTTGCGAACTGCCCGGCCCCCCTCCCGAGGCCCCCGGGTGGGCGCGGGGAAAAGGCTGGGCGGGCCGGTGAGCCCTTTAAGGGGCGAGCGAGGCGTCACCCTCCCAGCCAGGCTGCACCAGCCGCTCCCATATGAAATCTCCTTTGCCTCAGGCCAGGAGACCTTCTCTGGCATGGGTGATGGGAACAACACTGGCCTCAGTCACCCCTGGGCAAGAACACACACACACGAACAGCACATGGAGCTGCCTTCTGCAGAATTCAGACCCTTGGGCCACTGAAGTCAGTCTTATCCACTCAATCCAGCAGTGGTTCTCCAAGGGCTCAGGAAGAGGTCTTTCCCATCACCTCCTGCCTGTTCCTTTTAACTGGGGATGCCGGGGACTGAACCTGGGACCTTCCGCAGGCCAAGCTGAGGCTCTGCCAGTGAGCCACAGCCCCTCCCCAGGTAGTGGGACAGGCCTCAGAACGGTGTGTTGCTGTTCAATATTCTGATTCATGCCTCATCCCAAAGGCAGCAATTTGCACCTTTGGCACCCATGAGAGATCCTTACCCAGAAAGGCCACATTCCCATAGTTCTCCAGCATGACTTCCCTGTGCAGAGCTCTCTGTCCCGGATCCAGCAGGGCCCACTCTGCCTCCGTGAAAGAGACGGACACCTCCTCAAAGGAAAAGGGACCCTGAAGGAAAAAGAGGATTCCCTCGTCAGGGATCAGGACAGGCAAAGATTGCACACGGGAAGGGATGGTACGGGGAAAGGGAACGGCGTTCAGAGGGTCTCTCGCCCGCCCACCTTGTAGAAACTGGAGGAGCAAAAGACCCCCTGGGAACGGAGGAGGGACCGAGGCTGTCCGCCCCGCTCATCTCGCCTACCTGGACTGGAGGGGCAGCAGCTGTTTCCACACCTCTGAAGAGACAATGGCTCAGCGGCATCTCTTCACTGCCTGTTCCGGAGACAAAGAAGGGAGGGAGGAAGTTTGCTTGTTTCTTTCCTGCTTCACACACATACCCCCTTCCCCAGGAGTCTGAAACCTTTCCCTGGCAGCACACTCAGTTGTTGGAAGCTGCCCTGAGCCCTCCTTGCAGGGAACGGAGCGGGATACAAGTTGAATAAACAAACAAAGTAACAAATTATTCAGGAATTTTATTAAATTCTGACAGAGGCAGAAGAGAAGCACCAGGTGCCTCTGAACCTGGCCTACGGGGAGGGGAAGAGGGGGGGGGAAATGACGATACAGGACGCCGCACCTTGTGGCCGAAGGGGCCTGCCCTCCAAGGGGTTCCCACCTCCCTGGAGAGGCTTCTCTTTCTCTCTCCCTCTCCAGGAACCCACCACCAACACCTGCCCTCTGAAAGGAATTGCCCCACAGGAGGGTCAGGACTCCCTGCTTCCTTTCCAAGCTGTGAGGCCTGGCCTTGGTGTCTCCCGCTGCCCAGCGTCTGGTCAGCATGGGGACAGTATTTCATTCTTCTCCTGAGTCTGAATTCTCTACCCATCAAATTCACAGGGTGCCCCAATCTCACCCAGGCACAATGAGTCCTCCTCACCTCCGGAGAGGGCATCTTGGGCACGCTCCACGTCCTGCGCCCTCTGCCCTTGCTCCAAGGAAGCTCCATCCGCCTCAGGGAGTGTACCTTGTATCTTCAGAGAAGGTCCCCATGTCTGAAACAGCAGCGAGGGAGAGGGGTAAGAGATGGAATGGAAAAGGGACCAAGGAATGGATCCTGCCCCACTCCCAGACTCTGCACCCTTCCATCAGCAGACCTGGTGAGTTATCGGGAGGAATAAGAAATTCTCTCGTAGAAGAGAAGAGGCTGCTGAAGGAGGCCGTTAAACCTCCCATTTGGATGATTAACACTTGGTCACATGTCTGGCAGGGAACCTTTAGGATAAGGCCAGATATATCCTTGTTTGAGCTGGAGATATCTGGAGGGAATCCCCTCACCTGTTCTGCCTGCCTCTCCTCCTCTGCCTGACTCAGGAGGAAACCTTCGGCCAGGGCCACCGCCTGGGAACTGGTCTCCGGCCCACACCCTCTGACCCAGCCCTGCATTTCCTGGGGCAGGAGAGTCAGGAACGGCTCCAGGATCACCAGGTCCAGGATCTGCCTCTTGGTGTGCGTCTCCGGCTTCAGCCACTGGCTGCAAAGTCCGTGGAGCCGGCTGCAAACCTCTCGGGGCCCGTCGGCCTCACGGTAGCGGAACTGCCGGAAGCGTTGGCAATGTTCCTCTGGGACTGCAGTGAGCTGAGAATGGATCTCTGGCACCGGGTCTTCCCAGAATTCAGCACCATTCCCAGCTTGGGTGGGATGGGGGCCTTTCCTCGCTGTCTTGCCAGTTCCAGGTCCTTCTGGGTTCTGCTCGTCCATCTCCTTCCCCTTCTCTTGGGTCACCTCTGATGGTGTAGAGATGCCTTCAGTCACCTGGCTACGAAGAGGGGCTTCTCTCTGCGGGAGGGGGGGAGGAGAGACACAGACAGTCACATGGGAAGCCAAAGAGAATGGAGATACACCACTGAGTATCACACACCTTCACAGGCTCAGGAGACACACGAGAACTGCCCTGGTGGATCAGAACAAAAGGGCTTCTTGTGGTTTGTAGACCAGGTTCAATATCATTTATGTATATTACAAATCAAGCTGTTATAGATATGCCACTAAGGTTCTTTGGCAGAGTTAAATGTCTCTTTTTTCCTCTTGAAGGATGTTAACAAGTTAGCCTCTCATCACATTGGCTCCGTCTGTCCCAGGGGCTAATTCTGTGAACTGAGAGGGTCAAGGTAACACTATATTATATAAAAATACAAATGTTTATTAAGGTGTACACATGTTAAAACATACTGTGGTTAAAATTCAGATTTTAAAAGCTTTTCTAATACAAATACACTTGACGGGTAAACACTTTTTAACTCAGGTCACCACTGAGGAAGGCCCGAAGGGGCCGAAACGCTTTTGGTCCTAAGTTAAAAAGAAGAATGTTATGTTATGAAATGTATAAGATTGGTACAAATATGTGGAATGAAAAATGGAAAAAACTGAAAAATAAATTTATATATAAAAAAAGAAGATCCACCAGTGGGGCCAGGACATTAGAAGCCCTCCCACTGTTGACCCCCCAAGCACCAAGAAGACGGAGCATCACTGGCCCCAGAGCCCCTATCTATACGTTGTGGCTAATAGCCACTGATGGACCTCTGCTTCATATGCTTATCTAAGTCCCTTTTTTAAGCCGCCCATGCTTGTAGCCACCACCACATCCAGTGGCAGTGAATTCCATGTGTTCATCACGCTCTGGGTGAAGAAGGACTTCCTTTTATCCGTTCTAACCCGACCGCTAAGCAATGGAGTCTTATGAGCAAAAAAACTACTCTATGAGCTACTGGCATTAAAGTT